TGCAATTTGAGAAATCAGTGCTAATCTGAGATAACTTTAATTTATTAGTTCACAAATGTTCTTTCGGCCTGAAAGTTCAGCATAAGGAAGGGGTTTTATTTTTTTCCTTTCCTCATTCTATCATCTGTTTCAAAGCTTATAAGCCATGAGTAATATTGGATACACTGATAAAATAACAACAAATGCTAGTTTTTATCTTTTAGCCATAACTATGATAAAGAGTGCTGAATCACCTTCATGAATCAAGTTTGATTCTAAAGAGACACACAACTCTAAATGATCTCTGGAAACACAAACCAGGGGATTAAAGTTAACATAAGTTTAAAGAAAAAACAGCTTTTAAAAAATATTTCCAGAAATGTTATTTCATTGAGCAACTTTATATTTCAAAACTGCACTTTGCTTTTTTGTTTTTGTTTTTTTAAATAAATTCATTCTTAAAGCATAAAGCCACAAAAGTAAAAATGCATTAAGGATATATAACATCATTAAATCAGTATGCTGAAGGTTAGAGGCACTGGGATGTTTAATGAGCAGGGAAAAAAATGGATTTATCATACTTTCTTGAACAAAGAGGAAAGAAAATAATAGCAATAGAAACAAATCCACTCATATTATATTTTATATGGCATAGTCATACTACTCATACTGCTTGCAGATGTTTCTGTAAACAAATGAGTAATGGGACTATATCTATATTGGAAATCACAGGCATCAATCTGTACTGAAGTAGACACTTCTCCTTTTGCCCACAAGAGGTCATCAGAGACCATTCAGACCTTAGATGTTTATGGTCCTTATAAAAAATTCAATTCATGGTGTGACAGGTAGATCTGCTTAAACATTAATAGCCAAACTCAGAAAAACTATGGCCTCTTAATGTGCTATGCTGACTCTAACCATTCTAACCAGCCTTTGTATGATTACAATGAAAGGAGCAGTCAGTTTCAGTTGCAACAATATTTTTAATATGTTTATCAAAAATAACTTGTTTGAAACTTATTTGCACCATCTTTGCATTATTACCACTCAACAATTCTCCAGAACATAAAAAGTCAATTTTGTTTCCTTCAGCAAAACATTCCCCCCTTTACTGCTCTATGCAGAAATTTGAGATGGGGAACATGCTTATCAATTTCAGATCAAACAAAAGTTTCTGTTTCAAAGATCATCATTTTAGTAAAGACTCTGGCCCTGTTCAACCTGACTGTTCACTATATATTTTTTTAAAGAAATATATGAGTCTGAATTCTAAATGTTTTTCCTGCTAGATGTTCAGCTGATATGTCCATAGATCAGTGAGTAAAGAGCCTCTATTAAATCTTTCATAGCTGACACCATACTTGCTTCCGAGCTATCGTTTTCAGCCAGCAGTCTCCCCAGCGGACCACCTGCCTTTCCCAGAATTTCTTCTGCTTGACTTTAATCAAATCCATTAAGAGAGCAGGAACATGTGCTCTCTGCAGATGAGTCACAGGTTCAGAGTTACTTCCATTCTTTCCCATTCTTGCTATTGAACCTCAGTTCCAATATCTGAGGCACTTCCCCAAGGGGTTTGGGTTTTATGAATGAAGTAACTTCAGACTGCTTTCATTTCAGTTGATCTGGCTTCTGCCAGATCATTATCCTGGGAAATTTTGCTAATCAAACAACGAGAAAACTGTGCTTTTAAAGGTTTCTCTCTTTATCCACCAGCAGTCAGCTCAAATGCTTATATTTACCAACCAAGCCACTAGACTTCTAGCTGACTATTTCCATCTCATCAGCAGTCCATCCTTTTGATTGTGACAGTGGTTCAGGACTTAAGGGTTTGTCCTGCAACCTATGAATTGTTGGTTGAGCTCCTGCTCTGTCCCTCTCTGTCCCTGTGTCCTTGGTGGTCAGATGGCCTGGTGGCGCTGATTGTATTGCAGCTTTGCTTCTCAAGACTTGACTTGATAAAGCGCTATGTAAGTACAATACAATTAATTTAACATTACTGTTCACCATTCATCATCCATTTCATTTCTGTTATTTACCAGGTTTATTATAATTTCATTAAATGTAATAGATGGAATTTACTCCTATTTCTGTTAAAATATGTTTACTGCAGAGTCCTGAAATGCTTATTTTTATAATGCTTTATGGTTTTATTGTTTTTATCCTTTTATTCCTTTTTCTTTTAATTTGCTCCTGCACTATAGTTGTAGTTTTGGTTTTTACAAACCTGCAAAACTTTGGCTTCATACTTTTGATCAAAAGCATTTACACTTTTTTCTAGGTCAGACTGATGGTGCTCAAACAATCCAAGACCTTGGGCAGTCTAGTTGTGTACATCTCATAATGACTTTTTTTTTTTTTTTCCCATTCCACTTTACAAAAATAATTCAGCCACAATCAGATCCAGCCTTGCAAGCAAGCCAAAACATTTAATTGTTGTCTCTGCTTGACAAAATAGCTTATTTCATATGTGTTGCAGAGGAAAAGAGTAAGCAAATCTAGAAAATAAAATAAAAAAAAACAATAATAAAAAATGGCTTTTTATTTAATAATATTACTATTAGTAGTTTTGTAAGACATTGAAACTTACATTTTAGGTATATTTCCAATAATTCTTGAATTTCTAAACAGCTTAAGCTTTAACAGCTATTTCTTTTGCACTGCTACTGTTTGGTGCATTACCCTCATTTAAACACTGGGGGGAGCTAGAGACTAAACTCTGATCTTTAGTGTAAAGATCAAATCTCATCTGATGCCATAGTGGGATGAAGAGCAAAAAAACAGCTTTTATCTGCATCAAACAGGATAAAATATGTTAAAATAAAGACTCAATAGGTATTTGTAACAATGAGAGTTGGATGTTCTTCTCAAGATTCTCTGTCATCCAGGTCATAGTCATTCCAAAACAATTAAAAAACAATCCAAAGGACTTGGTTTCCAAGTTTGAAGACATTTCGCTTCCCATCCAGGAAGATTTTTCAATTCAAAATGTCAGAATTAGCGTTGAGTTCCAAGCTTTACATAGTGGATGAATAAAACTTTGTTATGGCTTAGAAAAAAGCAAACTGAATCATAAGAACAATAATGGGGAGTTATTGAGGTCTTTATTAGCCTGCAATAGCTGATACTGGTCTATGTCTCTAAAAAGGAAAGAGCTGTTTTGGTTCCCTGCAAAAAAACAGTTGGGACTGTATCCTTTGATTTTATCTCATAAATGCAAATATATGGATGGTATCAAATAATAGAACCTGTTGTATTTTTATTCTAATGACTGTTTGCTTGGCGAGGATGTAGGTGACATTTCACGTCAGCATTGACAACAAACCATTTCAATATATAATTCTGCTCAGTTTGTAGCAAATCTGTTTGGGCTATAAGATATACGTCAGCAAAAGGTGCCCAGAATAAACAAGGTTTAGAGCACATCTTCCTGGAAAGGGTTAACAACATTTTCTGCAAATTATATACATTTTATGAAGCATAAATCCATAACCAATAGGTATAGTTAATAAAATAAATATTAAACTTACATGCAGTGGTTTAATAAGCTACAGCACTATAGAAAACATGTGAGGTAGGCCTAACTAGAGGACATTACCCAGTGACAATTTATCTATGTTGATTTGATGTACAAGGTCAGAAAGTAGATAAGCTCACAGTCAAAACATAATTTAGACGTTTCATCTGTAAGAGTAACCTTACAATACAGATAGCGTTTAAGTATTAGAACCAAAATTCAAATTATAGTCAACACATTTCAAGTGCGAGCTGTCCTTGTGTTTTAAAGTGGTGCAAAATAACTGGACACATTTTTACTTTGTAACAAAATAGTGATCCATGCAACCTAAAACGACCGTCTATATATTTAGACGTCAGCTTTCCAGACAGACGCTTTCGAGGAAGACTACTATTTCTGTTTAGAGGGTGGGAGCAAGCAGGGATGTGTTTTCGAGGACCAGTCAAGGGTGCGGTGTTCATGGCGTCACTATCAAACATATTTCCTCCTATTCAAATTGGGCGTATCTCCCCCAGTTGGGACAATGAGGGGTTTGTTAAACATTAGTATGGGTAAATAATCTCCAAGAGGGCTACTTTGTATAAAGTTATCGATTCTGCCCCTATGACATCATGGCAATGCACACATTTTAAGCGTGTTTTTTTCCGCCATACATCCACATGAGGCGGAGCGGACCACAATCAACTTATTTGGTGTCGCATTGCGAAAAGCACGTAAATTCCAATGTCAGCTTTATAATGTATTTCAAAGAAACCATTGTTTTAGTTCAGAGTCCTACTTAACAGTCCAAGCGATAAAGTTACTTGTCCAAGTAACATGATCAGTCATTGGTATTAAGTAAGCCATATAATATATATCTATTAAATATCCACTTAAACGGTTTCCAACTTTTATTAAAGCTGGAAACGTTTGACTTTAGAGTACCATGAAATATATTAGGCTAGAAAAATGTTGAGACTTTTTAATGAGTAAGTATGTTTCGTTGGATTATTACAACTTCGTTTAAGTTAGATAGGCATACTGCTTTGCGTCTTTTTTATTTGTTAGTTTTGCTTTCAAAGGACCTTGAATGCATCACAGGGGCACGCCGCAGATCCGGAGCAGGGCGGTATAAACCAGTTCGTGAAGCAAGGAACGGAACCAACATGGAATGTGGAAAAAATGTTTTCAGAATAAAAGTAGGATTTTAAAGAGTTCAAAACACGCCAGTTTTAGCCTAAATCGCTCTCTTTTTAATAACTGAGAGTGTGTGGATATGTGCGGTTAATTTTTCCGTTACCATGGAATAGTCTGGTTACTAGAACCTGAACACTAGAGCCAGGGGTTGGTTTTAACATTTCTTATTTCTTCCAGAAAAAACGAATTTCAAAGAAATTTTCCTGTCATGCAGTTTAGAAATTTTCACACTCAGCTTTTAAATAAAAGAGAGCTATATTTGACACTAAATGTATAGGTGAATCGATTTTAATTTGAAAGTCTTTACCGGAAGTCTTTTCGAAGCGGTTCAAGAGTTAGAAGATGTTTGTTGCAAATTCCGTAAGGCTGAAGCTGCAGTCGGTCGTGAGTCTTTGTCCTAGTTCCTACAATGCATGTGGATGATGCAACGTTTTCACTCGGGGTTTAAGGTTATCGATAGTTATCGCTTTGTCTCACGCCTGCGACCGGGACATATTTGTTTATTTTCTGTTAAAGCCATCTTTATTCGGAGGCTGATGAACTGAGCGGCAATGGCAACGCTTCAGCCAGCTGGCTCAATTTCCCCTCGACAAGACCGGCGCCTCTCAGCTGGATAGATAAACCGGGGCTCTCTGCGAATCCATCTGCTGTGCCCAGAAACGGCTCCGAACTTTAAATAAGAAGGTAATTAACAGTTTATTTTTATCACATGCTAAGTTTCCTGTATTCTAAAGATGTTCCTATTTTCGCTCTGGGCGTTTTAATATATAATGGTACAGGATGTTTACCGTTGGAGGAGCTGGGTTGTCACTAACATCACAGCTTGAAGCTCTGTTGTTTTCAGTCTAAGTCAGACACGTGGCCAGTCTTGCAACATCTCTATCCTCTCAGAGCTTTATGGTCTCTCTGGGGGCTGGTGAACAATACACAAGAAAGGCTGTTTCACTAACAGTTCGCTGTTGTCTTGCAGCCTGTTTACATCGCCAGTCTGTTTGTGTGCCTGTTTCAACAATGGAGACCACCAAGGTAACCTTTGCCATCAGAGGGGAGACCTCTCCAGGTATGTTTAAACCTAAAACATTCTCTGTTTCCAGACTTATTAAATTTCTAGTGCTCACATGTAGTTTAGCACAGATAATCTGTGTGTGTGTGTATATATATATATATATATATATATATATAGATGGATCTAGATAAATATATAGAACTGGAATAAAGAAAGAGTTTGGAAGTTTACAGGAAAGAAAAGAAGGAAGCAAGTTAAGATCTTTCATCAGCCCCAGAATGATTCCTTGGGGTCCACAGCGGCACCCCACTGTTCCCAAAGGGAAAGAGTAAAAGCAGAGGAAAATTTTCAAAGGGATGTTCAAAGTTACTATGCCATTTTTTAATATGTAAAAAAAGAAAATGGTAAAGTACACTGAGAACTATGGGATAGAGGGAAGAGATAAAGGATGTGTGAAAGGGACAACATAAATAATAATAGACAGAATTAGGCACTATAAAAAAAAAAGGTTTTAGATGATGGGATTAAGTATAAACCTTTTTCTTTTTACAGATTCAGTACCCAACATGTGAGAGAGGCGTTAGTGATTAGCTTTTAGGATCCTGTGATATCTGATGAATGACTTATAGAAGTGATATCTAAACTCTTCTTGTATTGAATGCCCTTTTTTTGCCCGTTTCTAGGTGAGGTGATTGCTATAGTCGGCAGCTGTGAGGCTCTGGGAAAGTGGAGCTATCAGAAAGCTGTAACTCTACATCCACCAGTCGATGGAGGGTATGTAAAGCATTGCATATTGCTACAGTCCACTTTAGATCACAGGTTTAAAGCCTTCAATCTTGATTGTTGGTGTCTGTAATTTAAACCCCGGCTTCTTTGTTTAATCACAGGAACACATGGACAGTAACAATCTCTGTGCCCAAAGGAGTTGTTTCCCAGTATCGCTATTTCAAGGGCTTGTTCCTACAGTCAAAGGTGAGCTGGCAGGTTCAACATGATTTATTTATTTTATTGTGATGGTTTATTTAAAGTTGGCAGTACTTTGAAATGTATTTCTCTTGACTTGGAAGGATGTTAGGTGTTTGAATTGTTTTTTCATCTCTCCCTGTTCATCCTGTTCACACCTGGCACTACTGAGCTTCTGTCTGCTCAACAGATTGCCGTTTATGCCCTGAAAGCCATTTAAACTGCATTACACCAGCTGCACAGGACTTTAGAAACGCTGTGTTGTATTGTTAAACAAAAAGCCTAATCCTTTAGGTTCAGTTTTACAGCAGGGTTGAACAAGGTAAGCAGAGCAACAAAAAAATCAGTGTACTCTGAAAATAGCCAATCTCTTCCTGTAGAGCCAGTAAAGCAACTTCTAACAGCCAGTTAAGGCCTTTTTTTTTCCTTCTGTCGATTCTCCTTTGTTTGCTCTCTATCAGTGTCAAGCTAGTAGTTTGTAGCATGTGTCAGATGTCACAGTCTTAGAATACTAATGTACGGATGAGATGTGTGTAAAGCAGCCCCTCTGTCGGAGCTACCAAGTGATCTAGACATGCAGGTGGAGCGGTATTTGTGGGTGTGAACAGGACCAACTTTAAAGTCTGTTTTTTGGAAGGTCTAGCCACAACTGACTGGCTGCTTTGTTGTAATCCGTCACATGGAACCTCGGCAGGCCTTCAATGAGGCATCCTTTAGCATGTTTTCACCCAAACTGATATCACTCTACTGACAGCAGTACAGCAGGAGGAAGTCACCTATGGTATAAGGTTTAGGTTTAACTTTTGTAGTACACTTTTTATTTTATTGGAAGGAACCCAACCTTTTTTTTTTTTTTTTAGCTTTTTCTTTTCCTACACATGCACTGTTTTTGCAAAAGATAATCCCGTTGCCTATAGATATTCGGATACTTAATAGAGCTAATTTTAGTTTTTAATTTTTTGGCTATCCTTTCACTAACAAATCCCCTTTTCAGATTCAACGTACGGTCGGTGCCTGATCCATCAGGGGGATCGGTGACTCTAAGAGATCTATCTGCTTTCTCATTCTCTGGTCCAAAGATGTCTTTGCGACCTGCTTGAACGGTAGTTCTTGTGTATCTGACTTGAAAACCCTAACATTGTACCCAACATTGGAATTGCAGAGTGCAGGTGGTCCATGTCAAGTCGTAGTCAATTTGTGGGAGACCCATCATCAGCCCCGCACGATGAGACCCACAGGTATAAACCAGAATGACAGAAAAAGAAAAAAAAATGGTTTGGTTGGGGTTAGCAGTTTTTATTACAATCAATCCTCCTGTACTCTGTAGAATAACCCACTTGGGAAAGATCTGTGTGTTTTTGTTTTAAGTTTCAAATAACTGCAGTGTTTCCTCCCCAAAAAGTCTTACTGTAATTTATAGACTTCTGCTTTGTTTTTGACGCTGTGTGGATGCTTTGAGGGGGATTGGTGAAAGTGCTTGCTGCACTAATCTACAAGCCACAGAGGAAACACTGTGGGGCAGCTGTTATTAGATCTCTTAAGCTAATCAGCCATTGTGTTGGTTTTATGCAAAGAAAGCCTTTTAAACATGAGCCAGATAGAAAGAGCCACCTCCATGACTTGCTTGATGTGTTTGACTATCAACTTCTGGGTTCCTTTTGTGACTGATTTACTTTTTTTGCTAACTCTGTCATAAGATTGAGCTAAGGTAACCTCTGTCTCCTGTTCACATTAAATAACGTTAATTGTTACGATAAATAGATTTTTATGTTCACTTTAAAGTTGAGGCATCTCAAATTCAGAGCAGTGCAGATTTGGCCCGCTGTGAAAATTTGCTCTGGTTTGATCGGACCTCAACTTCTGTGGCGTTTCAAAGACTTCAAACTGTTTTTTTGTTCCTTCTCTTTAATTTCAGCAGCAGAACAGACAATTGATGATGGGGAATTTGGATTCCACAGTAAGTTTGCTTCATTATTACCGTCTTTTCTATACAAGTAGTAATTGTGGTGCCCGTTAAGTTTTTCTGTTTTTGTCCATTTTGGCTTAATTTTGGATTTAATTACCACCATTGAGCCTCTCAACAGCAGCCTAACTGGCTGAACACAAACAGCATGGTGCTAGCATCACAAACCTCCAACCTTATTCATATAAGGATTACTCTCTTTACAGTTAATTCATATTTGATTAAAGGGAGCTTACAAACTGCCTTTAATCCTGCTGCTACTTTACAATTATGCTCAGCATTTTGTTTGGTTTAGCACAAAATCCCTGCAATACAGTTTTGACTTTTTGTTTGTTTTTTGGGGGCAGGATATAAAAAAAAATTAGAGATAAGTACTCCATCGCTCCAAAGTCTCTGCAGGCAGCTCATTCAGGCTTTTGCCTCTTTTATAATGGTTGGGACATTGTACTAAACTAAAGCTTAGCCTCCTCCCTGCTATTGAAACAGCTGCAGCCTCTAGGCTCAGCATTCATGGTGGATAAAGTCATGCCACCGCCCTGATTACAGGCTTTCTATCTCTGCAGATGGGGTGAAATGTGTTGACTCAGGATGGCTGACATGCCAAACAGACATTCGTCTGCGCTTGCACTATTCCAAGAGGCCTCCAGTGTCAATTACCAAGAAGAAATTCAAGAAGTCCCGCTTCAGGTAAGGGTGTTGCTGGGTTCAAATTGTAACTGCTGAGAAAGTACACCATGTTTCGTACTATAGGCTTAAGTAAGAGTAACAGCATGTCTGTGGATGTAAAGTAGATAAACATAACGTACAGTTTATTAGTTTTTTTTAAGGGTTTATTTGTCTTTTGTTCATATAGGATCAAACTTACGTTGGAGGGCATTGAGGAAGAGGAGGACGAAGAAGAGGAACTCAGCCCTTCCTCTTCGCACAAGATGACCCCTACTTTGGAGATCAGTTTGATCACTGAAAATGGCTACAAGTCCCGTCACTCTCAGCCGGAGTGTGGCTATGCCCTGGAGCCGTCTCGATGGACTGAGTACAGCATCCACACCATGGACCCTGACAACATGGAGCTCACCTTTGAGTTTTTTGAGGTGATTCTTCTTCTGATAACTCTGTCAAAAGGTACTTATACATGGATACTGATCCTGATCATGATTACAGGAGGATCTGAGTGAGCATGTAGTCCAGGGAGACATCCTTCCTGGACACGTTGGGACAGCCTGCCTCCTCTCTTCCTCATTTTTGGAGAGTGGCAAAGATTCAGGAGTAGTTACACTTCCCATAATGGGACGAAACTCCAGGCAGACAATTGGGAAAGTCAGAGGTGAAGCTTTTTGCTTTGAATATATATATATATATTTATTTTCTATATACATATCCTGATATTGTGGAGCCCATTGTTTACTGTTGTTCATGCCTTCAGTGGATTACCTGGTGATCCGGCCAATCCAGGGGCTGCAGTGGGACATGAGCTCATCGTACACAAAGCACTGGAAAAAAAGAAGCACTGTAGATGTGGGTCACAGAGGAGCTGGAAGCTCACATGCTGCCAAGTGAGTTGTCCAGTCAGTCTCTACCTGGAGGATTTTCAGCAGACTCATAATGAAGTAGTGAAGAGCTTCTAATGCTCAACACGGTTGCTCTTGGGACTAGTTTTAAAAAGCTGTTGTGTAATTGGTTGTTGGTGGGGCGCCTTTAGTTTCTTCTCTTAACTGTCTGCATAATGTGGTAATAAGGTATTTTCTAAACTTCCAAACAATGTTTTTTTTATAGCATAGAAAGTGGTAGTTACGGTGTTGTGGCCTGTTAACTAATATAACCTCTCAAAACCCACCATGTTTTAAAGCGTTTACAAATAATAACTCAGAATGCATGACAATTACACTGGTAAAATGTTTACCAATATAGACACGTTAGACATCATTGGAAAGCTTAGATTCTCCACAATTCAACCACCTAATTCATTTTATGGACATAGCGAGAACCAAAGCACAAGTAACAGATATAGCAGCAAGTCAAAATGTAACATGACAAAGCAGCAGCAACAAGCAAGCATGTCTTTATAACTGCTGTTCAAAAAAAGACCTATTATTTTCGAGAATATGTTTGAACTGATGCAGCTTGGACTGTGTTTTACTCACCCAATTTTCGTGTATATATTCAGAAACTAGAAGGTGTTAGCTTTCAAATAATGTATCGCATGTAATTTGGGCTTACAGTTGCTAAGTTATTTGCTTTTCCGTTTGGATATGCAAAATAGGGGAGAATTTCCTAAAATGTGGTGGATATTAAGAGGTTAAACTTTAAACTTAACTCTTTAAAGCCTTAAGGGTACACTATGCAACCGGTGTTGATTTTCCAGAGAGGCTCCCCCCAGAGGGCGAATGTAAAAGTGCACTGTCGTAAATATGCACAGCTGTTCTCCTGGTTTCTCCGTCAAGCCAGGCGCGGTTGTTTTGAGCTTAGCAGCGAATGACTAATGCTGCGTTCACACTGGACAAAGCTGGCGCGACAGAAGCAGCGAGTTTACATGCAAAGTCAATGGTTGACGCGCGTCAAGGCGCAGCAAAAGGTCCCGCGCCGTGTTTTGAGCAGCAGGCGCAGCACGTCTGAGCAGCTGAAGCAGCGCGTCGGGTGCGTTTAACGCAGGGAGAGAGACACAGCGCTATGATCACTCCTCTTAAACAGTTTATTGACGCCTAAATTAACTTAAAATGCAGAAATCTGCAGGCAGAATATGCAGTTTGGATTATTTAGATGAAAAACACCTACCAGCTGCCGCTGTGAACCGCGAGGAGGCGACCAGGCCAGAGGCTGCTGATGAAGGGATCCATACTGTCGGCGCACCGCTGGTATGTGGGGGTCTGAGCGGCTCCGACAGAAAAAATATTGAAGGCAGGATAATAATCTGAATGAACTGACTGCACTGATTACGTTTTCAGGTGTATTTTCTCACTTAAACACATATTAAAACTACTTTATTCCCACTGATCAGAGCAAATATAGCTGCAAGGCAGAGAAAGGATAGTGAAGCTCCGCCCAACGCGCGTCAGACACACTTTTGCACCGCAGCCAGAGCGGCAAAGCTGCTTCAGCCGCGGCGTCAGAACTAACTGGTACAAGCAGCAAAAATGAAGCAGCAGATGCGATTTTGCTGCTTTTGCTGCGTGAACGTAGCATAACTGCACAAAGATCGCCACTGTGCTAGCAACGAGAATGCTTTTAACTGGGGGCATGTAGCAGTTCTCGCCGTAAAGCAAGACTGACTCTCACGAGACTTCTAAGCCTGTGGGTGCGGGTCGGTGCTCCTGCAGTTGCAAGTGCGGTATTTCCCCCACAGACCACCAGGGCGGCCGAGAATACCTTTGTTCAACCTGAAATGACTCATTTAGTCATCCATAACGTTATGGAACACATTAATTAACTGAAAAATGTTGCATAGTGTGCCTTTAACGTGTTCAGTGATAAAAGAAACCAGTCCGTGTGTTGCTGGGTCACTTAAGTGGTCCTCATCTTCTGCAGGAAATCATTGTCTGCTGTGTTTCAATATCCCTTTAAACAATCAAATATATATATATATGAATAGAATGTATAAATAAATAGATTAATTTTCTCCTTTTTTTAAGTTGAGAACTCAAATCTAGCCCCATTTCAACTGCCTGTGGGTTTAGATGACTTATCAGTTGTTCTTGTTTTACAGACACCACAAAGTCAGAGAAAACACAATTGCTTCTTTCACAAGTGCTGCTAAACATGTAAGTCCTTAAGGTGGTAATTGTCTAGATGCAGCTGTTTTTGTATGAGACTTGCCTCACTGTTCATATACTTCCAGGGTGTAGCCTTTGTGGAGTTTGATGTTCACCTCTCTAAGGATGCTGTGCCTATAGTATACCACGACCTGACATGCTGCATCGCCACCAAAAAGGCAAGTGGCAGCTCTTTGCTCACACTTCTGGTGGCTTTTTGCCGCTGACATTTCTGGTCCTGTCTTGGCAGAAGAAGAATGACCAGACTCTGGAGCTCATCGAGGTTCCTGTCAAAGACCTGACATTTGATCAGCTGCAGCTGTTAAAGGTAAACTGCACTTGTTAAATGGGATTGTAGAGATTCCCTGCTTTTTAGAACGTGGGCTATCAATCTGACTTATCAGGGCTATAGAAGGAGGCAGGATCTAAGGAAAGGATAATTATACAACCAATTAAAACCATCTAGTTTTTTAGAATTATTTTGCTTGATTGAAAATACGTTATAGATATACTAATATCATTAGGGGCCAGTCTGCTTTGCAGTGTGATTTTTTTTTTGTGTATATCTCCTTCTGTTTGTCAATCCAGACTGACCCTCTTCTTTAAACATTTGCTCACCCTGCTGGAAGGTCACCAGACTATTCCTCAAACAAAGTCTATAGCACCATGACACCATTATACAGTACTCCTAAATTAGGAATTTTAGCGATTATTCTGTCTGATTATTCAATTTAGCAGACCTTTGCCACTGGTTTCACATTCGGGTGAATTTATATTAGTTAGACTTGGATCCAGATATGCTGCATTGTGTTAATCAGTGGATAGATGACAGCCACTGGTTATATGCTGGACCTGAAATGGTTTGGATTATTACTGTATCCTCGGCGATCACTCATCAGTTTGATTCAGTACTAAACTTTCTCCTACTGCTTTGGCCCATGGATCATTGATAAAATGCGTATTGTTCTTTTTTCCTGCTGTAATGGTAACATACTTAAATGTGATTTGTGTCTCTCCTAGCTGGCCCATGTCACGGCCATGACAGGAAGTGATGACAAAGGTAAGCAGAATTGTGTTTTGTCCCACTATCCTGTCTGGATCTTGTAATAAAGATTGAATTAGCGCGTCTGTAAAGGGCAGTTGTGTAATAGCTGGGGGGTAGCCCTGTGTCACATGATGAAATTTATATTCTTGATTTTGTTATATAATCTACTGTGTGATGAATTTTAGAGCTTGGTCTAAAATGGACAATAAATGAAGCCCTCATGGACCCACATTTGGTGTCAAAATTTATTTCACATATTTATGTTGATCTGTTTTAGCTTTTCCATGAAACCTGCAGAATTAATGCAGGATTCTATGGGCTGCTGTAGAAGTTCTGGTTGAAGAAGAGACGAATCTTAGTAAAAATCATGTTTGTTAGGAAAGAAATTATGCTGATTGTCTGTTGAAATAGAAAAATGAGGAAACCTTTTTAATGTTTTTGTCATGTGTTTAGAGATGAGATCCAGATTTAACCCTGAGAGAGCCACTTTACATTATACATGCAACAAAAATATATATATCTGCTTATAGTAGAGGGGGGAGGAAAGTCTAATCCAGTTGATCCCAAGAATACGGAGCCAAAAGAAAGCTCTTCCAGTTTAGGATAGATAATGACTGAACAAGGTTTATGTTTCCTGAAATTTAGGTTAAATGATAATGAAAAGGAGGGAGAAAAACATATTTTACTCAAAGCAAAAGTTGTTTTTAAAGGCGTATTTCATGCAAATCTGACTTAATGCTGAAAAAAATTATGTTGATTATTCCATAAGATTGGTCAATTAAAAAGAGGAAATAAATAAAACCAACATGTCATTCTGGACCTTGACTGTAAAAAAGTATCATTATGCAAACCTCAGACCTTTGGTGTAAAACTGCAGGTTTTAGTGACCTAGATTCAGTTCTTGTTGAAAGATCACTTTGCTGACGTCACCTTGCATCACATGAAAGAGGAACAGGAGATCATGTGCGTTCAGATCAGCCAATCATTTTGATGACGTCTGAACATCCCCCGTTTTGTTTTGTTTGTAGATCTCCTGGACGAAGAGGAGGAAATTGATGAATATCAGCCATTCCCCTCACTATCGCAGGTAAAGTATGCTGTAATGATAACGCTGCGGAAGGCAGCTTGCAGCCCTCCCACAGAAAATGCTCACCTTTTTCTGTACCTCCTCAAAGATTTTTCAAGCTGTTCCTGAGAATGTTGGCTTTAACATTGAACTGAAATGGATCAGCCAAATGAAGGTGAGTTTAAACCACACTTTGAAACCAAATAAAGTGGTATCGTAAGCTGATGCTTTAACACTTTATTTCCACAGGATGGAACTTGGGATGGGAACTTGTCCTCATACTTCAACATGAATACCTTCCTGGACATTATTCTTAAATGTGTCATGCAGAATGCTGGAAAAAGGCGTGTTATCTTCTCATGTTTTGACCCAGATATCTGCACAATGTAAGTTCACACAAGGCAGTTTATTCTTCTTTTAAACTGAAAAGTATCTCATGAAGCCTGTAAAGGATCAATTTACCTCAAAAGATGCGCATAGGGATTTTTTCCAGTGAGGCTAGAGACGCCTCAGCAGGATCTATTTGAAATAGTATTTTCCAATCAGCTTTTTCTGTGTCTTTTATTTGGCCTGCAGGGTGCGACTCAAGCAGAACAAGTACCCCATTCTTTTCCTGACTCAGGGAGTATCAGAAAAATATCCTGAGCTGATGGACATTCGCTGTCAAACTACGCAAATTGCCATCAGCTTCGCTCAAAGCGAGAATATCCTGGTGAGTGATTTACACACTTTAGGTTACACAGTTACAAATGATAATTTAAAAAAAATGTTAGATTAGGTTTAATGAACTTGATTTCTTACAGGGAATCAGCGCCCACACAGAGGAGCTGCTGAGGCACCTTAACTACATCGAGGAGGCTCGGTCTAAAGGCCTGGTGGTGTTTGGCTGGGGAGATGACAACAACGAGCATGCTATCAGAAATAAGCTCAGGGAGCGAGGAATCGATGGGCTCATCTATGACAGGTAAGGTTCAACATTGGAATCAGTCTATTCTTTTGTAATCTTATTTATGCTGCACATCAATTTTGTCATATACAGGGTCTTTGTACCACTAAATACTAATTATAAGAGTTATAACTAATTTAAAACACTTGATTCTTCAGAAACTCTGATACCATGCACTCCTGCAGGATATTTAGAAGTGAAAGCAGCTCCACAGCATCACTGATCCTCTGCTGTGCTTAATAGTGATATAAGGTGTTTTTCCGCGGTTCAATTTCAGTCCGGTCAGACTAAGCAGCTTGGTTAATCTCCTAGTAAAATTAAACTAACGGCACCTAGTTTTTATTGTGAAAGAGGTGGGGTTTTTTTTCTTGTTTTTCATCACTCTCCAACAACTACTGGGTATATAGATGGATTCTGATTGTTGCTGTCAGCACAAGGTTTCCCTAAAGCCCCATTCACACAAACCTTTTGTAAATTGTGCAGAGAATTGTCCGAGCATGGTAGCTGACATAACTGTTTGGTGTAAATGGAATGCAATTGAACTGGACCGTGCCAGATGCAACCGAACCGCGCTAAAACTAGTACTAGTTCAACAGTAGGGCTCGGCACGTTCAGTTGTGGCTCTATTCTCTGAAAGCAAAGAGCGCATGAGCAGACCGTTTCATCTCCTATTTACAGTCAGCTGACCCATATTGCGGGTTTTCCGGCATGTCCGGCTTTGTAATTCGTAGATCTCTTCAACTTCTCACAGCACGAAATTCTTCTCAGCCTATTGACAATAAATGGCTTCAGAAGAGCGTGGTGCGATCTGGGATGATGTAGAGACTGAGGCTCTCATTGAAATTTGGGCGGATGATGCTATCCAGGCATCTAAGTTCCTGAATGTTTGCTTAATTCCCACCTTGAGAGCTGCAGTATCGTGGACCACCAATAGGACGTGAAGAACCATGTGATCGTGATGTGTAAATTGTTGTAAGAACCAAGCTTTGCACGGTTAACTGATCCAAACTCGACACAGATTTCAGTAGGTTTCAGAAGGTTAGTGTAAATGGGACAAAAGATGAAGCTCTGCTGCAGCTTTCATTCATCTTTTTTAACCTACTTATCATACATTGAACATTTCCAGGAAGTTTGATCATCTTAAAATTAAAACGTATGAATAAGTAATGCTTCACATCCACTTTTTTTGTAGGACAAATAAAAAAATAGAATTTATTTATGTATTTATTTTTTATATCGATTAATCCCTCCTTGGCTTTCCAAAGCTCAAGACTGTCATTAATTGATCACTTTTTATATTTACCAATATACGCATAAACTGGTAAGGGAGTTCAGGTTGTACTACCACCAGCTGCAAACATTTAGTGTTATAGTTTCATTATTTGTTCTAAAATAGGATTATTTTACAAGCATGTTTCATAGCTGGAATTCCGTTAGCCTTTAAATTACGGTAACTTTCCAGGCGGATGATTGAAACAAAGCAAATTTTTAAAAGCAATTTTCATTTTTATTATGAAACAAGTAAGGGAAAAAAAAAATCTGTTTATCGGATTTGTTAGGGAAAATTGGGGATTAGATTTTTAAGCAATATCACCCAGCTGTATTCTGAATCTCTAATGCGCTCTATTTTATTGCTAAAAAGTCTGGTTCTGCAATAGGGCTGGATAGTATAGGTAAAAGTCATATCGAAATTTATATTTCTTTATTTGGGTTCATATTACATATAAAAAATAAAAAAAAAACAACACAGTGTTATTCAGGCACAAATGCATACATCACAGACTTCAATTTAATTTGAAATATGGGAAATGTGATAGCATTGCTGGTGAATAAAATTATGCCGCCACATATTTGAATTGTCCCGACCGTTTCTGCTTCAAACAGCCTTTTGTCAGATAACTAGGTTTTGTCCAAAAGGCTTGTTTACTTGTTGCTACATCATAAACTCCTTTTACTAATGTTTACGATTAGCAGAGTTGACAGTTGGCATCTTTTTATGAGGATAATGAGTCAGTGTTGTTATAGCAGGAGTTGTTTAGCCTTACTGTCTCCACCCGGGAGCAATGAGTTCAAATAGTGGTCACACAGGGAGCCTGTTCTGTCAGGTTAAACAATATTTGGTTATGTAACGTCAAACAGTGGAAATGTCATTACTTTATGTTGCTTCTCGGACCGCATGCAGATTTTTTTTCAGTCGTTCCTTAAAATATAAAAAAATCAGCTTTCTTCGGACATTTAGCTTTATTCATTTCCAGATGAAACACCCTTTAGTGGCCTGTTGGATCATGGTTATGCTTTAGATTTTTAATTCTCTAAAATTAAGCCATTTGATTTTATTCATTTAGTTGAAATGTTTAAAAATGAAATGTAATGTAGAACAAACTGTACGTTTAATTTAATCTAAATTTCATTAAAGTAATTCATTTGAATGTGGCTTAAAGCCGCAGTATACGGTTGTATGAGATTTCAAAGCTTTTATTTCAGTCTACCTCTGCTGCTCCAAAAAGTGTTTTTTTCTGGTTTTGTCTTTTATTGTAGACAAATGAAAACGCTGTTGCTAAGCAGCCAAGATCCAAGTGGCTGCTCTTTTCAAGTGGTTTATGTAAACAGTTAGCCTCATTTTCAGAGATTTTACACTTATATAATCCATTGGCAGTGTTTTGGATCATCTGGCACCTGCTTTGCTTTTTAAATGAAAGACCTGATTGTTTATCGACTAGTTTGAGCGTGAAATGAACAAACATGGTTTGCCAGGACTGTTATGTAAAGCGTGGGAGTTAAACAGATCCCTCTGGTCCTTAGAAAACTGAACAGTCAGCAGAGGCGTTTGGTGAGGCCTTTTCACTTCTGTGTATCTCCATGCAGTGACATTTGTTCCATACTTGTGTCGCACTTTGGCCCAGACTTTTGCAGACCTCTGCAGAAAGCAGAGTGAAGTTGGTGGTTGGTTTATATAAAACACATCTTTACGCTGTTATTTTCTAACTGTGCCTCTTTCTTACAGAATTTGTGAAAGCTTGCTGCCATATTTTGACTCAAGTTCTCCAGATTCCTGTAATGTCTTTCTAGTTACTGTGATTTTTAATTTACTTCACTTTACCCCGCTTAGCTTCTTTATTCCCCACCCCTTGTCCTAGACCGCACTGAATGAATCGTACGCATCAAATGCTGCTGGAGCTCAGCAGTGTTTCTTGACAATGATACATGAGGCGGTTAACTTATCATAAGTTACTTGTGACCTTTGGAAAGGATCTTTTAACTTTGCAGAACTCTTTAAACTTCCTTGTTGATTGGTCAACTGCCATAGTTATCATTTTGTTCTCTAATAAACACTTGGACACTTCCTGGTTTCGCCGCTTCGTATCGGTTTCAGAATGCTATAAAATCCCTCCCCATTCATTTTTGCTGGTTTGGCATTTTTTGTGATGATTTTTTAGTTTGAATTTTTTACTGGTATCGGCACAAAGATCAATCTGCTCTTTACTTGCATGAAATTGGAGCATGCTCTATTGCCTTCTGAATGATGATCTGTCATTTCTAATTAGATTTGCATAAAGGATACTTATGCAAGTGTTGCAACAAACAATATACGCTAATATGCAATGGTTTAAACTAGCTTGACCCAAGGAGCATTTATTCCTCACATGAAAAGTTTCCATTGTTTAACGGCAGTTGGATGATCTGACCATATAGTATTTCGTTTTGGAAACTAGCCATCAGCCATTAGCACTTTGAATGAACAGTTATTATCTCCTGGTTCTGTGTCACTGTTCCTGTCGTTTAAAGTGCTTTTAATGCAATAGCAGAAAAAGTAGCATAATGACAAACACTCTCAGGCTGTTCGAAGTGTTGAGGAATGTAGTGCTACCCCTCCCCTACTTGTTGCTTCTTTGGCTTGTCCTCTTCTTGACAGACATGCTTCACTTTTCAGTATATAGACAGTTCAACTGTTTGTAGGTTGTTATACAATTAATGAAATGAATAGTACATAACAAAACATAAACTTGAAAGTCTTAGCATCCCTAACTATAAATGTTCATTTTTTTTGTAATAATTTCAATTAGATCGCTATAAGCTTTTTGTTTTTTAAAGGTTTGTGTCAGTTAAACTTTATCTACATGCAAGACTATTATACTGTTACAAACACTAAGTGGTGTTAAACTGTTAAACTAAGTGGCGATTTCACTGTTGACTCTATTGACTATCTGCCCTCAGTTTTTGAACCTCCTCCAGTATTTAGGTTTTATTAAGACAACAATCCATGTCCCTGTATTTGTTTTATTTATATTATTCTTATAGAAACCAACATGTCTTAACGTCAACAACATTTTATAGCTTTTGTTTTTCTTTTTTGTGTGTTTTTTCATTACCAGGAATATGGTGGATTGCCCTAGTTTAATCTGCAGGATTTTACAGCCCAATATCAGAAAGCTAATTAACTAAAAATGCATGTAAAATGGCACTTGGCCCAAAGTCAATGTGTTAATCTAGGAATGGGTGTGTTGAAACCTTTGGGTGTTGATATCCAGGAATGCAATAAAACATTATCAATTGAAGCTGCTGCACGCAGAAGAGCAACCAGTGCAATCATTCTACAGGACTGTGCATGTTTGTAAAGAAAATGTTTGTAAAGAAAGTTAAAAGCCAAACTGCTCATCTTGCAAAATGTATGAAACTTAAGATACAAATGACTAACTCTGGCTTACTACAGTATAGATTTATATTATTTTCTATTGTCAGTACATTTTAATAATATAGATTTAGTTTTGCAGCACGTTGATTTCATATAGAACAATTACTTGTTGAAGATTCTCGTTCAAAGAGAAGTTTTGGATGTGAAAGCAGCGGTATCATTAGGAGATTATCCTAACTAAACAATTCTTTCCTTTTTTTCCCCCCTCTAGTATCTGTGATCCTCAAGGAGAGCCAGACATCTTCCAGGTAGAAGAGCAACACTCCCTGCAAGAGGTCATTACAGAGGAGACCCTAAAGAGCTCTGCCTGCTCCTGCTACTCCATTCCCTGCTCCTCAGTGCCATGCTTAGCCTCCAAGGTTCATGGTGGAAGCGCAGAGTCAGATTCTGGGCTCAGCTCTTCATAGGGAATCCCAACTACATATTATTAAACTTTTTGCACATGTTCACTAAGAATGACCAAAAGAAGATTGGTTAATAAAATTAACTCTTTGCATTTGAAAAAGAAAATACAATTAATATCATCATTGGCTAGATTCACCCCTCTTCCATTACAATGTACCTCCCGGTGTGGTTAACATTTATTTCCTACTCTCCTCACATGTTGTATCCCAATTTTAAAAGTTGGAAATTTAGCCAAAAGCATAAACAGACCAAGCTGATTTAGAAATATCTATTTTTTTCACATAGGCTATTACACCTTTACAAACAGCAATTGTTAAAATGTAAAGTCAGGCATAGAAGTGCTTATTTTTACAGCCAGGTTTCTGGATCCAAGTAAAATGTTGATTTCCTGCATGTAGCCATTGAACACATGTTTATCCATATGTATAACAATAAAATAACATGATGTGTGTTATCACATATCAGTAAAGTGCTGGGTCAAAGCTGAATTCTGCGAACCACACAGAAGCATGTGGAATTTGATAAATGTGCTGGTTGCTGTTAATTAGTTTCTTTTTTTTTCTAGTGGAGTGATTTGATGCACTTTTGAATCCACAGAGGGAGATGATTAACTTCCTCACTGTGATGTGTAATTAAGTCTCTGTTCCACATTTTCAAGCCTTAAGACTTTTGAGTGTTGGCTAATGTTCAACATAGCATTTTTTTATTTACTGGTTTATTGAGCTTCATATGTACTTGATCTGAGAAAAAGCAGAAGAATGTTTTTGCAAAAGTCCACGTCAGCCACAGCCTTAGGGGAATTCCTTTCTTCCAGGTTTTTTTTTGTTTCAACATGAGCTATCTCATTTAATAAAGACTTGTAGAAATCTATGGGCCGTTTTCCAACCTGTTAAATCTGTGTCACCTCTGCGCCACATTATCTTCATTTGTTATATTTTTGTATAGTATCTGTCTTTGATCAGTAGTGTAAGATAACTGCATGCTTGCCTTGTATGTAAATGTTGATGTATATGGATGGATGAGTAATTGAACCATTTGTATCATACTAACCCAGGTGTAAATAAACTTATTTGCCCATTTCTTGTCTCGTAATATCTTTGATAAGTGTTCTTTTCCTGAAACGTTGCCTCAAAACATGGGAATTACAAGCATGAAGCTTTAACAAACATGTTTGTTCTTGTACCATGTGTACTTTTAGAGTGGTCTAGGGCTCATGGTATACCTGGAATTTTTGAAAGTGTGTTAACATTTTCAGTGACACTTTAAGAATTACTAATGTTGAATCAGCAAGCGGTGTTTAAAAAAAAAAAACTTGATTCTCATGCCCCCTCTCTTTTATATTTTTAGATGCTATTAGATGATGCATAAATAGCCACATGTTAATTTAGTTTTTTCTTGATTTTTTTTTCCCTTAGTGTCTGTTTTTGTTTTTTCTGCCCTTCCATATTATGTATTATATTAATGCTGATATTACCATGAATATTAGATGCAACCCAATTTTTCTTCATTTTTCAGTCTGTCCCATCTCTTTCTATGAACTCAATATTTTGGCCACAAGATGTGATATTGGGTGTAGGCATCTATGGACAAACATACTATCATTGCAATCCATGAAATTGCACCAAGTGATCTTTAACTCGCATTGATATATATTATCTTACAACTTTATCAAAAGTGTTACGAGTATGAGTACTACCTGTGACCTCTGTGTGAGAACAGTGGGTTTTAAACAAAGTAAGGCAAATATCAGAGTGACGGAGTTAATGGTAAGTTAAATAATTTCTCGGTAACTAGGTCACATCTACCAGCTTGGCTGCTTTATCAGGAATGTGAAGGACACTCCCTGTATCTCCAGTTTCCAGAGAGCCACAAACATTCAATTGCAGTTAAATATACCATCCTGCTTCTTAGGAAACCGGCATAAAATGAGTTTTGGTGTCATTAGGTCATTTAAACAGCTGTGTTGCTTTCATTTCCAGAGGTCTTTGAACCACAAAAGATAACAATCTTCTCTCAGACTTAATTATTGATAATAAAGTTTGGGTTGCCAGGTAGTGAAAAGTTCAAACCGTCATCAGACTTTGCTTACCTAAAAGGCACTGTTTTAATTAGTGATGACCTGACATCATTTAAAGCGCTGATAATATAAATGCCTGGTTACACTTCTTTAATAAAGAGCAATAAAAAAAGCTATTATTTACTGAAGTACACATGGGTGCAGAATGTGAGTTTAAAAAATAAGCATTAAATATTATGTTGTAGTTATAAAGCAGAGCGGGGATGCCAGCTGTTTTATTGTAGAAATTTACAGTTTTATATTCATACTTAGGGGCATCATGATAAACATCAGAAATCAAGAGAGACCAAAAAAAGAATGTTCTTGTATTGTGTGACCGATAAAATAGAAGCTAATTTTATGCTGAAATTACATGAACGAAAGTTTTGTCCCATAATGGTTTCACATGACAGTTTGTTGTAGGTGGTCAGATCAATAAGGGTTCAAAGATAACAGTCACCAGGAATGAAAGGACTGAGGAATCCTTTGCTCCGAAATATTACATCATTTTTCACTGACGCACAGATGATGAGGAAAGAGGAATCGCTTGAATCGGTGAAGGTAAGCACGTCTCAACCATGATCAGTATTGTCTTTGCTCACAGTCATTAACAAAGGGGTAGTGAAATTCACCAAGACATGCAAAACTATCAATATTTATTCATTTGTAAGCTTTTATTGATAAGAAAAAAAAAGCAAGGAACAGAAAAAAATAACATACCAGTTGTCATATGTGTGGTTTAACCTTTAGCTAATAATACGTAACAGTCAATATCAGCCAGCAGCACTGATGGTGTCAGGGTTCAAGTCATCTGGTGACTGTATCTAAGCAGTATCACCGTGAACTTTGGTAGAAGTTCATCATCATTGCCCACTGTTTATATTTGCAACGCCTTCAGCTTTTCTGTTTCAATGATGAGGTTTTATACTTTCAATTAAATTATAGATTACTGAAACATCCCCAAAGTGTATGTATCAGCACTATTTAGATATTTTGTTGAGAAGACGTAATGATTATTCAGTTTTGCTACTCTTTGTTACGTCCACCTGGCTTGTTAGGTGGGGTAACATTAATGGAGACCACACAAGGATTTTAGAGTTAATGAAAAAGGAAATTTATTAAATTATATTAAGTAAAAACTGAAAAAAGAATTGCCTGAAATAAGATGCCAAAACAGATTAATACAAACCATAACCAATTAGAAATAAACAAACGCAAAACAAACCTAACAAAACTCAGTCATAAAGTCCAAACCAAACCAAACCAAACCAAACCAACTGGAGTTCTGAAGAGGGAGAGGAGGAAAAAAAGCCTCCTGACTGCTGCAGCAGGACAGCTTTTAAGCAGCAGAGCACCAATCAGGGGAAAAATCATAACACCTGCAGAAGGCCTGCCTCCAGGACCCTGAAAGAAAAAGCAGAGACCCCCTGCAGCCGTAACATCTTTAAAAATATCAACAACATATTGGGGGGGCGACAGTGGCGTTGGATGTAGGAGTTTGCCCTGAAATCAAAGGGTTGACGGTTCAAGCCCCGACTCCAACTTTCAGTGTCGTTGTGTCCTTGGGCAAGACACTTCACCTGCATTGTCTACTGATGGTGGTCAGAGGGCCCGGTGGCTCCAGTGTACGGCAGCCCCGCCTCTGTCAGTGAGCCCCAGGGCAGCTGTGGCTACAATGTAGCTTGCCACCATCAGTGTGTGAGTGTGTAATATCCATATTTTTCTGGATGGATGGATGGAATTGAAATTGTTCGTTCTAGTGATGCAGGATTTATCAATTTTGGCATCAGAATCGACTGGTATTTGTTATTTTTTTTATACGTTAATGTTTTTCGGCCCCATATATGTAATGCACTAATAGGAATCCCTCTATCATCTATAAATATAAATATCCAGGTTTTATGGTTCTCTTGTGTTCTCAAAAATAGGAAAGCATTCAGTAAATATATATCTGAGCTCATTTTTGGAAAATCTTTAACAAGTAACTGTAGGTCCATCAGCCTCCACCCGAGTGTCCCCATCAATTTTCATCACAACGTTACACCCTTGAACTGTATATATAACAGTAAAGCATATTTAGAGGGTGGAACTTTTAATCATAATCAAAATCATTAACATTTGGAAAATCTGATGGCATTGTCACACAGCCAAAAGGACCAGGGTCTTGTAGCCATTAAATTAGCTATTAATTAATTACCCATAGGTTGCCAAACTCTACTACTGCATATATAAATGCATAGGTTGAGAGGGGTTCAGTTTCTGAAACCCACTAATGGTGTTTTAGCGCCATCTGCTGGATGATTGAGAACTTGCAAAATAGCAAGCTGTCGGGCTTTTCTTGTAATTCCAGATGTATAAAAATGTTGCATAAATCCTTGGAATCATTTTAAAGACAGATGAAATTCGTTCGGTTGAATACAAAAAAAAAAAATCTAAAAACGAAACTTTAATGACATTTTACGTAACACGGCGGGGGAAATAAAAATAGCCCACCCTTTCCATGGGAGTCGTAGTTTCTTCTACCGAAGCACCTAGTGTTTTTGCGTTGTAAATAACTCAATCTCCCATAATGCCCCGCTTCCAAAAGCCACAAGCTGGGTTACGCCTACACTAAATCGACTGTAATCCTTACTGTACACAACTGAATCCTCTGCGGGTACATTTTAAAATTTCCTGCAGCTGCAAGTTGTCTTTAATTAGGCTAAAGAAATGGACAACTCCGGAAAAGAGAAGGAAGCCATTCAGCTAATGGCCGACGCTGATAAAAAAGTCAAGTCCTCCGGCTCCTTTTTGGGAGGGATGTTTGGAGGGTAAGACAGCAGCACTGCACCAAAGAACAGCTAACGGCCGTTAAGTGTCAGCAGCAAACTTGGCACGACGCCTATATTAACCCTCACCATTCTTTAGAGCCAGGCTCTAATATTAACAGGAGAATATTGTTCTAATTTACTAAAAGAAAATAACTAGATAGACATGACAATAGAAGCAGAAACCATTTAAGTCGGTTAGCTAGGTTAGCTGTTATCAGTGTAAACAAAGCATTTAAGTACTAGTTTCATGCAGCCTCATAGCTGTGATTGTGTGCCATATTCTACTTTGACTCTACCATATTACTTTAACGAGTTGTTTACAGAAAAATATATAACTTAAGTTTAGATTTAATCAGCTTTTGGCTACATTATCAGTTATATTTGAATAAAAATGCCGTTAAATTGAAAACATTGCCGTAAATTCATATACATGTTTGACAAAATAGTCTCTACATTATTTAATCCCCAGATAATCCCTGGATTTGTACTTCTAAACTAATTGATTTAGTAAAACGTGTGTTAATCCCTAAAGGTGTTTTAGAGGCTTCAGACTTCCCAGCACAAGATAAGATTCCCCCTACAGATCTGTGCAGTATTATTAAGTTGAGAAAGACTAGTCCTAAATGTAACATTTGAAGAGCTCCAAAGATCCATTAATCAGCTCGGTGATTGGATGTCCTCTGGACTCAGTGCAGGAGGAGGGAAACAAAAGGGATCCTAACTAAATTAACACCTCTGTTGGATGTTTCCCACCCCATGCATGCATGAAGCTGTTGCAGAACTGGAGAGCTCCTTCAGTGATGGACTGCTGCACCCTAAATGTACCAGGGAGCATTATCACAGATCCTTCCTCCCAGCAGCTGTAAGACTGTAATGGTCCCCACACCCTCAATAAGTTGTTACATTCATGCTGGTTTTGCAGTTTCTAACTTAGTCAGTTAAATAACTTGCTGCTGTCATTTTGCACATCTCTGATATTGCTGCTGTTTTCAAATATCTATTACTGTAGAAATGTCCATAGGTGTACATGGGTTATTTATTCTCCAGGTACACGGTTTCCATCAATCAATCATCCATTTTCTGACATGCTGTATCCCAAGTGGGGTCGCGAGGGGTGCTGGTGCCTATCTCCAGCAGTCAATAGGCGAGTGGCGGGGTACACCCTGGACAGGTCGCCAGTCCATCGCAGGGCAACACAGAGACACAAAGGGCAA